TATTATTTTTATTATATCATATTTATTTTTTATTTTTATTTTTTTTAATAAGCTAATAAATATTTTTATTTTTATATTTTTATTATCTCTACTGATAATTTTTTAATTTTTATTAATATACTTTAGGTTCATTCAAGAAATGATCAAACTACTAGAACCATTTGAGACTATAACACAACAATTGTCAGGTGCCACATATCTAACTTTAAATATAGTTTATCCATATATATACATATTAAAACAAATGTTTTCACCAAGAGTTGAAAATGATGAAACAATTGATAGCTATTTAGATATAATCTATGGGCTTTTAATAGTAGAAGATAGTTTGGAAAATATTGATAATAGTAGTGATTCAAGTTCTACTAGTGATAATGATGATATTCCAACTGCAGAAAATCGATGACATTGGCAACATGTATCTCAACAATTTAAACGATGTATGAAAAATACATATAGCAAAAGTCGAGATTAGGGTTGGGGTCGAGGTTTGGTTTGTGGTCATGGTCATAGATGCATATCTAATCAGGATGTGAGTGAAAATTCTAATCAAATTAAATACCTACCATCAGTCAATACCGAAAATCTCATCCAAAAAGTTCGAGCTGCTATATATCTTTCTTTAGATAGATTATAGGAATCACCTAATAAAAGTTCTTTAATAGCAATAATATTAGATCCTAGAATGAAAAATTTTCCATTTATAAATAGATCAGAACATGCAGAACAAAGAACATAAGCTGAACATCTTTTAAGAAATTTATATACTCAACTTAAGCAAGGCTTAGTGAATGAAAATCTTGAAGAGCCAATTTTGACAACAGACTTGACTGACAATGCTGAAGATGTATTTTCAAGAATGTGGGTTGATAATCAAATACAAACACAAGATGAAATCACCTGTTATTTATGGTATCCTAAAGAACCAAAAAATGTTGATCCTTTAATTTGGTGGTAAGGGCATTAAAGAAGCTACCCTATTCTATCACAGATCACATGTAAATATCTTTCGATCCTCGCTACATTAGTTCCCAGTGAAAGACTTTTTTCTGACACAGGAAATAATATTTCGGCAAAAAGAACTCGATTAGCACCTAATTTAGTTAATCGAATTTTGTTTTTAAAGCAGAATAGCATATACTTCCTTATGTTTCCACCTTTGGAAAATGACAAATAAATTTTTTTTTTTTTTTTTTTTTTAGTATTCTATTTCATTTATTTCAATTAATTATTTCTTTTTTATGCAAGTAGCAACAGTCTAGAATGCAGGAATGTAACAAATGGTTCTAACCAGTTGTAAATGTCCAAATATTTTTTAATAAGGACTATAAAAGGATTCTAAACTAAGATTATAATAAAGGTATATAATAAGTTTTTTTTTTATATATTCTAGGATATCATTTCACAAGTGAAAAAAATGTTAATACTTATGATGCAAAAGAGTCAAGCCTAGAGCTTCCAAAGTACTGTAAATAAAATAAAATAAAATAAAGATGACTAAGTTGTATACGTTAGTTAAATCAAAAATTAAATATTTTGTAAGATTAACCATATTTGGTTAATTGTTGTGTTCTATATGACCAATCACGAAGTAGACACATGTCTATGCAAGTGCAACCGGATATTTAGTAATAAAATCAGATTTAAATCTGATGCAGACTTTTACTAATTAAATAAATCCAGATTTAAAAATTGAATCTGGTTCCAAACTCTAGATCTTAAGCATTTTAGATCTCAGATTCTGTGGTTAATTAATTTATAGTTTTTTAGCTCTCAGGCCTGAGTGATGCTTTAGGCTAGGTCTTGTGTTTTTATTTTCAGGCATGGGTGATTATACTTGCCACCCAAATCCCAAATTATTATAGTTTGGGTTTGTCCATACCCAAATTCCAAACTCAAGCCCAAATTAATATCTCAAAAACTTTATTAATAATCTTTATTTAAACAAATAATTTATATTCTTATAGCTATATATAATATGTTTACAAAATATCAAAATTATTTTGTTTTAATTTTTTATAAAAGCAATTTGTTTTTTTGAGGTTTGGGATTTGTTCGAGTTTTGCCAGCAAGTATATGGGTGATGCTTCAGGGTTAGGTCCTAAGTGTTTTAAATCTCAGATTCTATAGTATTTTAAATTTTATATTTTTTAGTTATTTAATTTATAGATTTAATATTAATTTAAAAATAATGTAATTATTATTAATTTAACTCTTAGACTTAAAATATGTTCTGAAACTAGATTCTAAGTGTTTTAGATTTTATATTCTGTAGTTATTTTTTATTTTTTTTTAAGTAGTCATGCTAGTACTTTATTAAGATTTTGAAATTACATTTGCAATTACATAAACATTTCTAATACTTAAGTCTAGCATTACTTGGTCATCCTAATGATACCTAAATGCAATCTGTTATATTATTTTAAACAAAAGTAAGTTGCTTATCTGATTACTTAAAGTTTATAATAAAAGGGTCTTCTTTCTTTCACAACAAGTTGTAACATTATTTCTTTTATTGATTTGCTTTTCTTTCTTTTTTGTTTTCTTCTTTTTTTTTTTTATTCTTTGTTAATTTGCTTTTTTTCTTTTACTTGATTTCTTTTTTTTGTTTTTTTTTTTTATTTTACCTGTTATTCTTATTTTTTTTTCTATTTACTAATTTTTTTAAATTATATTTTTTATACCTGTTTATAAAATATATTTCAGGTTATTCTTGTTATTACTTTTACAAACTGCTATTTTAACTTTATATTTAAAAACTGTATTAATCTATTTAGTATTTCTTTTGAAATTAAACTTTTAATTAGAGTTTTTTTATTTTTATTTTCTTTACTTCTGTTTTTTCAAAGAGTGTTATATATAATATATATAAAGAAACTCAAATTTTTTCTTTTTTTTTTTAATTCTTTTTATGCTATTATAATGGTTACTTTTTGGAGTTTTTATTCTTTACATATTATCAAGTGTATTTATATATTTTTTATTTTGTTTTGGTATACTTAACACTCTGTTGTTGTATTGTTATAGATAAAAATTTTTTTAATTTTTATACTATAATGGTGACATAACATAAAGAATTTTTTATAAGTATATATAATGTCCAAGAAGAAAATATAGCTTCTGTTAGATATTGTTAAGAAATTATATCCTTCTCTAAGCCAATTTAGAAAAAGTAATACAATACTAATAACTTTATTTTATTTTACTAAGAATAGATAGATATTGCCTATAAAAATTATTTTAGAGAAGGAGTATTAATACAATTTATAATTAAAAACTATTTATTAAAGTAATAAGAAAAAAAGTTATTCTTAGATTTCTGTTTCTAAAGAATTCCAAGATGTATTTATAATATTAAAAGAAAGATATATATTTGTTGCTTAATCAGATTTGAGAAATTTAGCAAGGTTTTTATATTTGTAAACTAAATAGTTAAATAGCCAAACAACTAAGCAACTAAGTAACTAAGCAACTAAGCATTAAGTGACTAAGTGACTAAGTAACTAAATAACTAAGTAATTACTAAGTGACTAAAAAATTCTAGCAACTAGTGACTAATAATTACTAAGTAATTAATTACTAAATAACTAAATAGCTAAGCAATTAAGTGACTAAGTAGCTAAGTAACTAAGCAACTAAATAACTAAGTAACTAAGTGACTAAGTGATTACAAAGCAACTAAAAGTTCTAATAACTATTATTAATAATAATACAATAATAAGAATAACTAACACTAATAAGTATAAGATATTGGTTATACAATAATTAATATTATGAAATTTGGTTTGTTAGAGCAAATGATTAGCTAACATGTGCTGCATAGCAGTATGTTTTAACTAATTGTTTGTCTCAACAGAACAAATTTTATAATATTTATCATCATATAATCCATATTAATATTATTATACAATTATGATTATGATTTACAAATCATGATTTGCTAACTAAGTTTTAGTTTAGAATTGTTGTGCTTATATAATAATGTACAAAAAATAACAAGAAAAAAAAAACTAAAATCATAAGAGTTTGCATAATAATAATAATACATAATAATAATACTAAATCAACAACTCTTCCTGCTGATCACTTGTACACAAACTGCAAGAAAACAATTTAGAAGTTTGCCAACAAACGACTGTCTAAACTGACTTCACAAGTTTAAGGAAAAAGATAGAGTGAGTAAAGAAGGTATAACAAGAGCAAGAAAGAGAAAATTTGGATAACTTGTTAAGAAGATAGAACAGAAAACACCTTG